TTCCTGGTTAGTGACGACGAACCATTTAGCATGTTGTTAGGTATGTACTACCATCAGGTTGCGAAGCCCCAATTTGACTGGGACAAGAAAGCGTTAACGCATAAGGTCCCTATTGGGAGGACCGTTAGCTAAGTATAAAGCTAGTAGGTTAATTGCCTCCTACCGGTGTCTGTGTGTCAACCTTCTTTCAAAACCAACAGGAAGGTATGTAATTGGTCTTTGTCTCTGCCAAAGGGGAGGCCGTTAAATCACCCCCAGGGATAAAGAGTGTCGTCGCTAAGTACCCTGATCCGTTCAAGGACCCCACATGTGTCGTAGACATGGAGGTTGTCCATGCCATAGAGATCATCCCTGGGAGCAAGATACCCAAGGGGAGAATCTACAGGATGGCTCCGGCCGAGTTGGACACGCTCCGTCGGGAACTGAAAGAGCTCACAACAAAGGGTTGGATACGACTTAGCATCTCCCCCTTCGGCTCCCCAGTTCTATCTGTACCGAAGAAGGGGGGATCACTAAGAATGTGCATTGACTATAGGGGCCTCATTGACATCACCGTTAAGAACGCAGAGCCCCTACCGCGCATCGATGACCTATTGGATAGGGTGCAGGGATATAAGTACTTCACCAAGATGGACTTGAAGACCGGAAGATCAGCACAAAACCGCATTTCAGACCAGGTACGGTCTGTATGAGTTTGTGGCGATGCCCTTTGGCCTTTGCAATGCGTCGGGTAATTCCACGCCATGAATAGGATCTTTCACGACTGCTCGGATAAGTTTATCGTACCTCAACGACATTCTTATCTTCAGTAGGACTGTCGAGGAGCATGCTCGGCATGTAGACGAAGTCCTTTCTCTCCTCCGGCAGCACAAGTATAGGATAAATTTAGAGAAATGTGAGTTTGGTCACACTAAAATCTTGTACTTGGGTCATGAAGTATCCACAAAAGGGATTAGACTTGAAGATGCGACGGTGGCTAGCATTTAGAGACTGGCCACAACCCCAATCTGTGACTGAGGTCAGATCTTTCTTGGGGACGAGTGGTTATTACCGCAATTTTGTACCGAACTATAGTACGATTGCATCTCCCTTGACTGATCTCACGCGCTTTGACACTCCCCAGAAATGCAGCGACGTGAGGCTGCTTTCAAAAGATTGAAGCATGCACTTACACATCATGAGGTTCTCATGGTTCCCGATCCTCAAAGGCCATTTGTAGTGACCACTGACGCAAGCCAATATGGCACTGGCGCAGTGTTTGCTCAGCAGGAAGGGAACAAGTTAAGGACGATCGAGTACATGAGCAACCATCCAAGAAAATTGGCAAAGCCCACCCATGAAAGGGAACTCCACGCCCTCTACAAGGCACTTGTCCACTGGAGGCACTATTTCTTGGGACGGTTATTCTATTTGAGGACTGACCATCAAACACTCAAGTGGATCAAGACAACCTGTTCTCTCTTATGTACTCAAACGTTGGATTAAAGTCATAGATCAGTATGACTTCAAGCTAGATTACATGAAAGGAGAGTATAAAAAGGTTGCTAATGCATTGTCACGTAGGGCAGACTACCTGGGTGCGCTGATTACCAAGTTTGGCTTATCGGACAATGTAACTCGATCCTTGGTGGAAGCCTACAAAGAAGACCCTGTCACGAATGGACATCATCCGCAAACTTGGGGCCCGGGAGAAGGCCACAACTGATGAGTTTGTAATGGTAGATTGATTGCTCTTTCTTAAGAAGGCAAGGTTCAAGAGGCTAATTGCACCCTCTAGAAAGATTTTGCGTACTTTATTTTTAGGTGAGTGTCATGATGCAACAGGACACTTCGGCTACAAGAAGACTAGTGCTAGCTTGGTATAGCGATTCCGGTGGCCTAACATGCTTTACGATGCAAAGACCTATGTTCAGACTTGCCAAGTCTATCAGCAGGATAAGCAGCGGACTAAAGCCCCGCTTGGGTTACTAAACCCTTTACCCATTCCTGCTGGTCCGGGACAGAGTGTTTCCATGGACTTCATGGATACCCTCGTGACCAGCAAGAGTGGCCAGAGGCATATCTTTGTCATAGTTGATAGGTTCACTAAGCACGCTAGACTAATCCTCATGCCTGAGACTGCTAGGACTGAGCATGTCATCAAGTTATTCATGGATAACTAGGTGCATGACTTTAATATTAAAAAACGATTGTTAGTGATAGAGATGTCCGGTTCACCAGTGAGATGTGGAAAAAGGCCGCTGAACAGATGGGCAGCCAGCTCCAAATGACTTATGGGAATCATCCTGAAGCCAATGGGCAGGCTGAACAGATGAACCGTGTGGTGCAGCATATGCTGAGGCACTATATCAAGCCCAGCCATACCTCCCATCGCCAGCCAGTACAATAATGCTATACATAGCACCACCGGCGTCAGTCCTAATCAGCTGCATCCGGGGTGGAATCCGATACCTGCTCTAGACTTCCTACTGCCTGAAAATCGAACTGCTGCAACTCCGGGAACCATTGAATTTGGTGCCCAGTATGAGAAGTGTTGCAGCAGACTATCGACCACATAAAGAAATCTCAGGAAGCAATGATTACTTCTGAGCACAAGCATTGCCAACAGTCCGCATTTCAGGTAGGGGAACGATTCTGGATCAAGGCTAGTGAGTTGGGAAAGGAGTTCGGCATCTCTAGAAAACTAATGCCTCAGTATTTCGGTCCCTTGGAAGTCTTAGACATTGTGGGTAGTGATTTGGATGGTCCCTTGTACGTGATTCATATCCCTGGGCACCCATGCACTTACCCTGCGTTTCACGCCTAAAAGTTTGCACCTTTCGCTGAGACAGAACAGTTCCCATCAAGGAGATCAATGCTGCCCCCAACCATGGATGGTCACGTGGACGTCGACAATATCCTGGAGCACAGAGACATGCCCGTTCCCAAGCCAGCTGGCAGGGGTAGACCGCCTAAACCTGTGGGAGAGTACAGAATACGGTTCAGGCATCATATTGATCCCAAGGAAGATCGATAGTTTATAAGAGAGGAACTTGTCAAGACAGCTCCTCATATCGTGGCCGAGTATGAAAGAAAATTGAAGGGGAAGGCACCAGCATGAAGCATCTCAGCGGACTTTCGAAGCTAAAGGGGGATGGAATGCGAGGAATGAGCCCTCGCGGGACCCTTGTCAAGCATGCACATGTTCTGGGCAGAGGCCCCCAGCAAGCCAAGTGCCCGCCCTAAGTGAAGGCGGGCCTGAATATTCACTGAAGGCCAAAATTCGACATTTTGCATATGTGGGTACGCAGGTGTTGCAGCCCGCCAGTTGGTTGAGTGGACGCCTGAACCTCCCTAAGCTGTGTCGTACAGTTTGACCCAGGCCTTGGCAGTTGCGCTTGGGCACGAAGTGGCCACAAGCCTATGCAAAAGCAGCACTGTCGACGTGCATACCCCGGGTCCTGTGCAAATGCAGCAAACGGCCCAAGTCTGGAAACTCAGGCCGTGCCAAACTGTAAAGGCCCCAGGCCCTCAACTGCAGCACCGGGCCTGGGCACAGGCACTGGGGCCCAAACGGAAGCTACTGGAAGCTTCCAGCCAGGCCACACTCAGCCAAGCAGAGGCTGCCACTTCCATATAGGAAGGAAGGCAGCCAGGGTCAGGCATTCTGGCCCACGCAGGCAATGCGGTCACGCCGCTGCGCGGCTGCGTTAGAGGCTGTGTGCTGTGTTGCGACCAGGGCGCTTGCAGGGCGCACGAGAGGTGAGAGGGGCGCTGCTGACCAGCGGGGCGCTAGCAGCCATAGCCGGGCTGCAGGGCTCTAGGGGGTAAGAGGGCGCTCGGTGGTCTTTAGGAAGGAGGCGAGTGTGGGTGGACAGGGTCTGATGGGGGGGGACGAGATAGGAACCTGGTACATGAGAGAGGTCGGCTATGGTGTTGACATCATTTACATTGGTCTTCGAGAGTCAAAGTGAGCCTGTTGCAAGAATGCTGATGTAGGTAGGATAGTCAAGTAGTGTAGGCTGGGCGCTGGGCGCTGGGCACCAGACAGAGAGGAGCGACTTTGGATACTGAAGTAGGATGGAGATGGTGGAGGAAAGGAGATGGTAAGAAAGAACACGAAAAAAGGAGGATGGGATGAGTGGGTATCGTTGTAGCATATTTTTACTTGCCGGGGGAAAGGAATCGGACCGAGGTTCCCCAGAATGGACAAGGAGCCAGTTAGAATGAGGAGGAGGAGGAGGAGAAGAAGAAGAAGAAGAAGAAGAAGAAGAAGAAGAAGAAGAAGAAGAAGAAGAAGAAGAAGAAGAAGGAGGAAGAAAGAAGGAGGAAGAAAGAAGAAGAAGAAGAAGAAGAAGAAGAAGAAGAAGAAGAAGAAGAAGGAAGAAAGGAGGAGGAAGAACGAAGAAGAAGAAGAAGAAGAAGAAGAAGAAGAAGAAGAAGGGGTTCAGATTCTTTAGACTCTTTAAGAGTCCTGAGACTCTTAGAGGGGTTTCAAAGGTGTTTCTTCTTGACTTTATTTTCCATTTCATTTTTTATAATCTTGAAAATATGGAAGAGTTCGGAGAAGACATGTATTATACTTCTGGTATTTTAGCATAATTTTACTCAACATAATACATTTCTTTTTCGATAGTTTTGCTTTTCCCATCGTTTTTACAAACTCTGCGCTGGGCCTACCTGCCACCTTGCCTGCTGCCTTGGGCCTGCCCAGGGGCCACCCTGCGGTCACGGGCCAACATAGGGTTTTTCCCTCTCATCTTTTGCTTCCCTCCAAAGCGGATAGCCCCTAACACCAGGTGAAACACTCTCATGCCTAAGGATCTCCTGATCAGCAAATGTGAGGCACTGTTAAAGAATTTTTTCGCAAGAAGAAGATAACACCAACACATTCAGAAAACTGGCATCAAGACAAAGATGTCATCCCAACAGAACTTCGCATCAAGAAGAGAGAAAAGACAACACAAGACTGCAGCCTTGAAGTGGAAGACAGGACATGCGCCTTCAGCATAGAAACTCACCGTCTTCGACGAACCGCAACCTCCCAACCACTACTCCTTTTTCGGACGCAACAACTGCAGAGGACATAAGAGCCAGCCTTCATCAACCCTGTTTGATCAAAGAGAAGGGCTGGGGTAGAGTGTGTATGGCCACAGCACCGAGCGTTTCCATTCTAACCCCAAATCACTATTCACAGGCGATTGTCACAAGATCTGATTCACTGTACACACCCATCCAGAGATTCCACACCTAAACACGCACACACCCGCACACACCCACCAACCCATCCACACACACACACACACACACACTGCCTGCAACCTGAGGACAATTACCTGTGTGGAAACCCATGGAAGAGCTGAGATTTTTTTTACTATTTTTAATCGTGCCCATAGTACCCCATACAGAACATTTGACGCGTGAGAACGTTAATCTTCACGGTGCCGTTACAGCTGCCAAGTTTCTTTTTTTTTTTTTTTTTTTGAAATTTTACAGTTGCCAAGTGTTATTCCCAATCCAAATATATTCTCCGACCACTTGTAACAGGTGGTGTTGTAAGATTTACTTTCTTGCACATACTCAGACCACTTGTAACAAAGCGCTGAACAGACGGAAAGGCAGCTGAAAAAACAGAAAGCGAAAAATAACAAAGAGGAAGGGGGAAAAGACTAAAAACGAGGCACATGCTACTTCTCAGCAGAGGTTAATGACCACGCAACGAAGAAAACAGAAAGTGCAAAACAGCAGTGTGGAACGGGGGAAAGAAAGAATGCAGCACACACCACCGGCCAGCAAGGGCCAAACACGCGGATAGCAACATACATATCAGAAATGATGAATCGGGAAATCAAACAGTCAGGCTGCACTGCTGCCTCGCATGGGCCAAATATACAACAACGAGCTGGAAAGAAAAAGGTAGAAAGGAGAAAGGAGAAAACATGCATGAAGAAGGGGAAATAGACACAGAGCGAGGCAAACACTGCTTCCATGAAGGGTCGCAAAAAAAAGGCGACACAGATAACGGAAAGGGGAAAACTCAGGCCAAGCGGCCTGGTTCAGTTGGTTGAGCACGTAAGTGGTGCACAGGAGGTTGTGGGTTTGATTCCCCACGGCATCCATTCGACTCCCGACGACCCACTGTGTGGCATACTTCAGGTTCACCGACTGAGCAAGTTGGCTTGTCCCTCCAGGCAGGTTATGGAAGTTGCGTCTTTCTTTCCAGCCCATGCCAGGTGTTAGGAGCTTGCGTGCTGCTCCCCGAACAGAGCAGAGTCAGGTGGGCGTAGACCCGTAACCTTAGGATAGCTTTGGCCTGGTTATAGTGGATTTAAGGTTGGTCCTCCGTCCGAGGTAGGGTAGCTGCTTCTCATGAATACATGTGATCCATTATCTGCCTTGTAGGGCATGTGGGTAGGTCAAAGATATGGGTAGTTAGTGTGGTGAGGCAAGAGAGAAGAAAATAGGGTAGGTAAAAATACAAGCTGAAACTTCTTTTCTGTACCACTTTCAAAAACAAAAACAAAAAAAAGACGGGAAAAATCAGCGAGGAACAGGAAAAAGAAGAAAACAGGCTATCACAGGTGCATGTTGCTTTCGGATTGCTTTCGCAAGGTTTGAAACCCGGACTGTGAGAAGTTTGCATTCGCAAAGCCATAGTTTCTAGGACGCGAACAGGGGCATGGGAGGACTTTACATTTGGAGCTGGGGTTCGACGAGGCCCCCACATCCTCCGCTTGGGAGCAAGCCCCTAGAGGTGACCATGTAGGGCAGGGAAGAAAGAGATTCCGGGAAATACGACCAACAAATACACTTATTGTGAATAACACATGACCGCTAACCAATTTGAAAACAAGAGCACTTCAGCACCACACCACCAAACTTTTTTAAGCGCTCGGGGGGCGGGGGGAAAGAGAAGGAGGGGGGGGGGGGAAGGGGGGAATTAGATCAGTAACTTGCCATTGAGACTGGAGCGCGTGCACCCAAGGAGACAAGATACATCATCGAGCACATGATCTGACTGCCCCTGATCCTGAAACAGCTTTACATCGGTATAGAACAGGTCTCGCTTAGTCACGTGAATCCGCTTCATGCAGAGCTGATGGACTAACTGCAAAATCCGGGTTGTGATCGCAGTTTTCCTGATTTTAGCCAGCCAGCAAAAATCACAAAACAGGACCGCAAATGGTTGGAAAAGCACGTCCTTTTCAAGAAGGAAAGAAGTAGAATACAACATAGGGCTCTTGGGTAATCTCTGCTGTAAAAGATAGCAGTTGTAGACCTATCTCAAAGAATCTACCGGGATCTCAACATTCACACTCATAAACCCTCTCTCTCTCTCTCTCTCTCTCTCTCTCTCTCTCTCTCTCTCTCTCTCTCTCTCTCTCTCTCTCTCTCTCTCTCNCTCTCTCTCTCTCTCTCTCTCTCTCTCTCTCTCTCTCTCTCTCTCTCTCTCTCTCTCTCTCTCTCTCTCTCTCTCTCTCTCTTTTCATGCTAGCTCACACATGTAGCTCTAAGAAGACAGATCATGAGTTCAAATCCCAAGAACATCAAATGAGATGAATAAAATAATGTTAAGGTTAACCCTTTTAAAAGGATAGTTTTCCAGCTTGAGGCGGCGAGAAAGGTCATTCAGAGTGCTGTACGGCTCCAAATGGGGCGCCCTGAACCTAGACAGTGCATGCGACGTACTTAGTCGTTTCAGGCAGGCAGGTGCATGATACGCACCCTGACTTTCCAGGGGTCCAGGTACACTCGACGGCACTATCTTGGGACTGTCTCTTATACACATCTAGATGTGTATAAGAGACAGCACACACACACAACACACATGTTTCACATGAAGCTACAGACAAGGCGTCCATAACACCTTCAAGACCTAGGAATCCAGAGTAACAACATTCCAGACCTTCAGGACAATGACAGTTCCAGAAAAAGATGACAAGAGGCCTCGTTGGACCAGTAGCCAAAAAATACTCAGTACAAGTTGCGGTGATTCAGCACCACCAGACAATCATTTGTAATTCTCTCACTCATCCTGCACAGAGCCAAAATGGCTGAAATAAATTGTACACAGAAAAATTTGGGAGAGGGCCTAACAACGATGATTCTACAGTGCAATATAACGAACTTAGGAACCTCCAACCCTAAACCCTAAACTAAAAGGTCAAACGCTTGCCAACACAAATAGCACGCCAGCAATGACGCCTATCCCTTTCGATGATTCCAGACATCGTTTCGATACAAGAGGTGCTTCCGAATCCTTCCGCAACAAGCATCTGCTGCAAGGACATGTAATAATTCCTCGCCCTCCAGTTCGCGAGTGATAAATGAAAAATCCTCCCACCATCCTCATTCCTTGCAAATATCATGGACAGATACGTTCAACGCAGTCGCAGAGTTGCTGCCTGAAGTGATGCCTGCAACTCCGCAATTTCCTGATCCAGCAACGACATGTCCTGGTGCAGCTTCTCGGCACAGTCATCGACCGTCCTCATGGCTCTTGGGCGAGCATGCCCGTCCTCAACACCCTTGTCCATCTCATTCTCAAAACCTGTCGAATGCTTGCCAAATCCCCTAGACCACTTTGAACCGGTTTCTTCAACCACGCTTTTGAAACGCACCCCTTGATCAGCAGCAGGGGCTGTCACCTCTTTGACGATTCGGTCCTCATGCTTCCCTCGTTCCCCTGGACTCACAGCATCAGCTGTGCTTCCCCATTCAGTCTGGCCACTGCCGGTGTCGAACAGCAATCCCGTGGGGTTCCTATCTCTACCCTTCCCTTTCCATATGTCGTCACATGTATGATACACGGGAGGCGCTCTTGTTGAGGTAATATAATTGTCTTCCAAAATCAAGTCGGCACAATTCTCCTTTCCCGTTGGTTCAGGATACTCCCACGAGAACGACGCTTCTCTTGGAAAAGCAGAAATGTTTTCTTCGTCGAGTAACTCTTCCTCCATTTCCCAATTCTTAGCGAGACCGAGATCGTGGTCCAGCTCTTCTTGCAAGCAATGGACAGGAGGAATCGGCAGCGTACGTGACTTCAAACTAGCCTGTGCCTCCGGACCAAGATGACCTGTGAATGGTGATGACAAGGGCGACGAGAAGGCTCTGAGGGAGTCACCATCGCCATCTTCAATTGGGGGGAGACGGGAGGGTTCAGAATGGTCATGATGATATCCATCAGCTGCATTCCTTGCTGCACTCGGGAACTTCCCTGACATTGGGAGTGACAATCCTGAATGTCCCAACACCCATTCCCTCTTTTCCGGTTGGCCGTCAAACTGTGGGGAATGCTTCGAGTCTGCAAAATCCACCCGAATCGACGCGCCATCGGTCGCGCATCTCTTTGGTAGAGTTGTTTCCTGTGCTGACGTTGACAGAGAACCCGCTCCCCCGAGTGTCTGTCCCGGGACAGAAGCTGAGGCAGGCGCAGGCTCACACTGCCACAGAGAGGAACGAGGAAGCTGAGCTCTCTCTGGGGGCAACCTGGATGATCCAGCATGATGAGGTGCCGAAGCAGCAGCATGCTCTTCTGGCAACGAATGTGCAACTGATGTCGAAGGCATAGACGACGTTCGACAAGTGGGCTCATTTGCTTCAGCCAATCGTTGCAACGAATGCGACATTGATGCCGAAGGCATCGACGACAGTCCACAAGTGCGCTCGTTCGCTCCACCCGACCGTGGCAAAGTTGAGCGCCCATTTAAGCCTCTGGGAGCGGAGGACGTGCACCCATCCCATCCAGAACCATCACGTACTGATCCTGATGCACCCCCTTTGCCACCTAAGCGTGTGAATTGGCGGGTTCGATTGGCCAGACATTCCCTCTCATTGGACGTTTTGGTGACTCTACGCCACTCTGCATTCCCATCCACTCGCCTTGCCATGTTACTCCTCAAACTGGATCCCGACGCCAACGATTGCCCTCCCGGACCTGCATTCATAGAGCCCGTCTCTCTCACCTCTCCACCTACTGCTCCTTTCCTCTTCAGAATCAAGTCCATAGCTGCTCTGATATCCTCTTTCTGGGCAATTATCATCGCCTGCAATGCACTGTAGTTCGCCCTTAGCTCATCAAACTGCTTTTCCAAAAGCATACACCGACCCCGCGTTTCCTCAAGCTCCGCCAACAGACGCTGTTTGGAGCTGCTTACTTCGATAACCGCCTTGGCTGTTTGTTTCTTGGCATCTATTTGCAGTTGTGCTATTTCTGCGGCATGGGCGGCTTCCTTAGTCCTGATCCTCTCTTGCAGTGCTTGGATTTCTTCCTCAATTGAAGCGCGCTCCGTGGCTGCCTGCTCTCGCAGTGCTGCATTCTGCGCCCGCACCCTTACGATAGCAATGCGATACTGTGATAACAGTGCCGATGCCCTCTGCCCTTTCTTTGCTGCCACTCTCTCCTTCTCTAATTCGCATCGCAACTCCTTTACTTCTGCAGCAAGCCGGCTTCGCTCAGCCTCAACAAATGAGAGGCGTTGCATGAGAACGTGAGAAATGCTGGTGATTCCAGTTCAGAGGGTGCACCGGGGTGCAACCGGTACCTCCCCCCCCCCCCCCCCCCCCCCCCCCGCCCGGTTCACCGGTCAATGTTGAAACTCTTTCCCCTTTGGCATCTGCTGCACTCTCAGCCGTGCTGCTAAGTTATCAGTGCCATCCTCCTTTGCCCAAACCTAGGAATCAGCAGCTCATGCTCGCATATGGCAATGAAGGTGACCTTTTCTTCCATCACCAATGAAGGAACATCCTGGCATCTTCTCGATCTGAATTCCTCCACCCCACCCTCCACCGCCATGCCCCCTTTCAAGGACATAAGCACCACCACCCTGCCCTTTCATTCTCAACCCCCAATACTTCTCATGTGCTGACACGTTGCTCTGATTCCAATTGACCTCTCCGCGCCTGCCAAACAAAACCTCCGACCTGAGAAATAGTACCCGTCTTCCCACCTGTTGGCCACCCTTCCTTTGCTGCCAGCCCTTGATAGCATTCCGAAGGTGATATCCCCCTGACAAGGACTACGTTACAGTCCACAGACTTCAACAACAGCAACCACCAGGCCAAATTAGGTCCATTTCACTGCATTCAGGACATGGTTTGCCTCGCTGCATTCATCTTGGTTCATCAGGAGTCGAAGTTGGGTCTGTATTTGAACAGTTCATGGGTGTACCAACTGAGCTAGGTCCGTTGGAAGGCTTGCCTCGCTGATTAAGCAGCTCCCTCCGCTTCTTTCCTGACAAGTGAAGTCATCCATGCGCTGTGTGTCAGAGTTACTCATTCGTCTTGCAGCCAGAGTGCAACCACTTCCCCACTCAAGTGACGGATCACTTTTCTCTTTTGACTGACTGTACCTCGCTGTTTCCTCAAGTGTGCATCCGCCACCTCAAATGGGCAAAAAGCGAACATAGCCGCCGCCCCCCATGACACTGCTCCTCTGCTGGACAGTCCCCCAGCTTTTCCTTTCACTTACTGCCTTCTAACAAACTCCGAAAGCACTGAATACATTCAAAAGGAACAACAGAGATGGAGATCCACCATGTACAACATCGGGCTGAACAAAAAGTATAATAGATCACAAGGCTGAGCTGGTTAGTAGTTGAAGCTCTGGTGGGCGGCGGAGTTTCAGAAATGCAGAACAAAGAACAAGAACAAGAACAAGAACAAGAACAAGAACAAGAAGGAATTACAGGACTCGCTCGCTTTGTTCCGGGAACAGTGGAAAGACAATTGAACCGCTTGAGATAAAATGTCTTCACCAAAGCAGCTGTGAGCTCATTACCTGACAGTTGTTATTTGTGCAAACTGCCGGAAGGATGTCTTGTCTCTCAGAACAACTGCAACAAAGAAAAAAACAGGAAAATCAAACGCGTTAAACATAATATTATCAATTTCAGTTCCTCCTCCCAGCACTACAGAATCATAGAGAAACCAGGTCAGACAGCAAGTGCAACACACATCATACATCACGTTTCCGCCCTCTCTCTCTCTCTCTCTCTCTCTCTCTCTCTCTCTCTCTCTCTCTCTGTGTGTGTGTGTGTGTGTGTGTGTGTGTGTGTGTGCGCGTGTGTGCGTGTGTGTGTGTGTGTGTGTGTGTGTGTGTGTCATAGCAGTGGCATTGATGGTGGTGATAGTGGAGGACGGGAGTGGGCAAGGGAGGGGATGCTTCAACCCCTCGAGTACCCGTTTGCAGCTTTCCACACCTCTGACTATTTGCATAGGTGTCAGTCGTGTCAGAGTCTGGCCCAGGCCAACCACCATACCACCTGTGTCAGCTCCCATACATGGGTTGATCTCACCCAGGCCGCCAAGGCCACCAATGGCCTGCTTATGATGCCATTGTGGGATTATATTTGACAAAGTTGCTGACGGTTTCTGCATCATCATATTCACAGCGGTCCAAGTCCGTCAATTAAAGCTCCTTCCCCTCTGCCGGCAGGAGCAAAGTGTGGTAGGTACTACAAGCCCTCTGCTCCATTTGGAAATCCAGATAGGGCTCACCGATTCCACCCTATTTGTCTACTGCAACTGACACTGAAGACCATCAGCAGCTTTGCCAAACTGAAATCATATGACTCAGCAGTGTCAGCAGCTGATCACAGGCTCTGACGTGTTTCGGCATCCGAGCTTCGGTAATATTGTGGCTTCATGGCCCATAAGTTGGTTCCCACGGAGAGGCCAGTTGAGTCAGTGTTGACTCACAAATACGCTCATACTATTGTGTAAATGAATGAAAGCTAAGAATAGAGAAAGATTTGCACAATGAAACATTCGCACAATGGCTCATAATCGTTTCGCAATGCACTCCGATAACACGTACAAAGTCAGCTGCTAAGTCCTCAGGACTGAAAAAAAAAAGGAAACGCTCGGTATGGGACACACATGTGATGGCCGGGCGGGGGGGAGAGCGGAGGGGGGAAGCTCACCCATTCAAGGATGGAGTAGTAGTCGGTACAGCACAGTACATCAGACGACATGACCTTTTTTATTTTTTTCATTTCCAAACGGTGTGGCATGACTTACTTCTATCAAGTTCTGGAACGTAGAGTTGGTTTGCAGTCGTTCTTGATGGCACATTAAACCCAAAACCTGCACACAATGCAAATGTCAAACTGATGATCAGACAGGAGAGGGGCAAGAAGCTAAAATCTCAACCAATTGACAAATTCAATAGATCCCTCAAAACCCCACCACGGTCATTAACATATCCTCCACATGGACCACAATTATCAACACAACTTTTTTTTTTCTTTGTTCCCCCTTCCTTTTTCACTCTTACATGCCTGCCTCTCTCTCTCTCTCTCTCCTGTCTCTTATACACATCTAGATGTGTATAAGAGACAGGCACATAGCGCCCAAGGCCTCTGCCAAGGACACG